CACGTGGAGGTATGTATATCTATTATTATTATTTTTTTAAAACTCAGTAAAAATAATATATATTTGTATATTATTTATATTATAAGGCCGATATCATACAGTAATATCTATATTCTGATTGATAGATCATATTATTTTTGCATATACTAGATTTACATGTGTAGACTTGGACTTAAATATGATTTTTATTTTCAACTTTATCGACTACAATCTTACATTTTGGGCCTTATGCGCAGCAATATCATTTATAACTTGATTAAAATTAATTTCGTTGGTGAAACTTAGTTCGATTGACAAAATGGCCGAATCACTTAATCGTGTGGAACCTATGGTAGACCTCAAATAATTTTTTACTGACTTGAGCTTTGAGAAGCTACGTTCACATGCAGCAACGCTGATTGTTATAGTCGAAAAATTCGAAGCATAATTACAATGTTGGGAACGCAAACACCGTAAGTATACTCCTAAATGAATTTTAGCAGCTCAAGTGATCCTTTCAAAATGGTGTCGTGATCTTTCAGATCAATTTCAGTAACGAAATTACGTAATTGTTCCCTCTCGATTTCAAAGTCATTGACATCGATGTCATCTGGCTCTCCTTCTAACGCACACTCGTACTCTTATTTAGTAAGTTTGTTGATGCGAAAAATGAATACTTGACATGTAACTCGTGTAATTGCTGTAATCTGGTTTTTATTTCTTGTATAATTTTGTCAAACGACTCGAACTCTTAAACCAATAAACGTACTAGTCAGCTTACATTGCACGAAACAATATGAAAACTTGATGGTTTATAGTTTCGACCACGCTGATTACGAAGAAGATATTAAAAAACATTCTGGTGCTTGGGGTCTGTGAGAAAAAACGTCGCAAAGTTTAAAATGTTCGTATCTCAAAAACGGTGGCACCTACAGTAAAATAGATTACAACATTCGACAGATCTTGCAAAATTCTATTAGATACGATTATTCATTTAAGTTTCAGGACCGTCAAATAGTAAGATAATCACTTGCAAACAGTTTCACAGGTTGAAAGTGCGAGTACAGCTGTGATCTCCCCACCACGCAGCCATGCCTCTCCGCTCTCGGTACTCACGCATATATACAGCTATAACTATGCTCCCTCTTCTCCCATCATAGCAGCGCGGTGCGATGCCTACTGTTGCGTCTGCTCGTAAACGTATATGTATACGTATCTATAGATATTTATAAATATATAAACATATGTTCTGCTGTTAATGAGTAACTTGCGAGGAATAGAAAACATAATGTACTTAATATACAAATAATCGTAGACATGGTGTAAAAAATACACAAGGTGAGCTCTTCAGCCACCGAACTGATCAGCCAATCAGGAAGCTTAGCACAAGCGATCTTCCATATTGGATTTTCCACCAATGGGTGTTGTGAGCGCGTTGTTCAACTACTTACACTTTATTGCTGAAAATAAATACAACTCACCTCAAAAAGCAGTATTAAATTAAAAGTATCAAATTCTGATTCAATCATTTGTTGATACGATTGCTATGTACAATGTGTCACATCTTTAAAATATTGAACAGTAGCCATGACTAACTTGAAACCAGAAGTTAACTCAACGAACGATTTTGTAGAAATAAGCAACATTTCAAACCACATTTAGCAGTAGAATTCATTCATTTGATTGCATTCGGCTGATTAATATCAATTTTTTCTTACAAAATAAAGTACATTGTAGATTTTCAAGGTTTTAAAAGCTTTAGTAACAACTTTATTTTTAAGAAAATTTTCTTTATCGACCTCGACATACATACTTTCCTGGTGGTTATTGTGCTCCAACCACCTTTTTCATTGGAAGATTTATCAAAAAAGTACCAAAAACAGAATCAACGGTTGGAAGCTGATTTTGATGGTATTACCTGGGATTCTGGTAACATTTCTTACATAAGGGAAATAGAGAAATTGAAACGCATACTGTTTGACGTTGGAAAAGTTTATGTTAGTACGTATTATTGACTGAATAAAAAATATCTTGAGTATGCTAATATTTACTTTCTTGTAAATAATGCATTAATATTTTTGAGTTAATAATATTGAGGAGTATGGGTGCTCTTGCCAATCTCTTACAAGACTAAGTGCCGTGCGAAC